CGTCGTTGTCGTCAAGAAGTGAAATTTGTTTTTTGTATCAGTAATTAAAGGTTGAAAATTTCTTTGAATGACTAAAAATTTTCGATAAAATTTAATTAAACTATTGAAAAGTACCATATTGTTTATTATTTATTGTTGATATAAAAGTTTTTTTCAACTTAAAAATAAAATCGAAAAAAAAATAAGTCACAAGCCACAAGATGCACGAAAACAAACGAATTAATTATTCATATTATAGTTAATGTTAATACTCGTGAATAGACTGTAATCATAAAATATTATAAACAGAGTATGAAGCTCTACCATGTGTAAAATATATCAAATGTCGTTATAACCTTACTGCATGAGTAACCTACGCTGGTTAAACAAGTAATACTATATGCGTTACGTCGTGTAGCTTAATCTGTGAATATTGCGCAAATAGCCCTTAACATGTTGTGGTATCCGCAGAGTACCATCGACACATAACAGTAGAGTACTCGTGGTACCCTAGACGCCAATCGACCACCGCAGTGCGTCGACAACGTTTACTAAAAGAACAATAGAACACTCGCTCTGGGCCAGTGCCCTTAAACGTGTCGTGGTATTCGCAGAGTACCGATGGCACATAACTGTAGAGTACCGCCAGTAGAGTACTCGTGGTACCCTAGACGTCAATCGACCACCGCAGAGCGCCGACTCTAATTATTTCTTTCAGATTATGTGAATTATGCCTAACGTAGCTTTGCGCAGGTGAACTCATGCAGTTAGTTTATTTAGAATTGCTCTAAATGTTACTTTTAATAATATTGTGTTATTTATAAATTTGTCTATTGTAGACAAATTTATTCTATGCAATAAAATAAAAACAAACTTACTTATAGTGAATGCTCAAACACAAAACAACTTGCTTTATTAAGAAAATAACTTATAACAAAAAAAAAAAACGATACAACAAATAAATAAATATGAAATATAGAAAAGAATATCTGCTGCGTCCTTCTTCCTTTATTTGGTTCTTGAACACTGACCGTCGTTGAGACTACAAGCAACCCTCATGCCCTCTCAGCCTGGTAGGTAGCACCGATCCATTCTGTGATGCTGGGCAGTTAGTCAACCGGTCCGAACTACCCGCCCCTCTGTTCGCCGACAGTTAATAATAACTAAAATTCTAAAAATTATACATAAAAAAAAGAAAATTTAATTTGGGAGGAAATATTAATAAATTATTTGGCTACTTAAAATCGATTAATAAATGTAATTTACTCGTTTTTAACGTAAAATTTACAAATTAATAAAAAAACTTACCTTTGTCTGCCTTTATATAACGATGTCATCCATCATTTTCTTTCTTTTTTCAATTAATTGTTTGTACTTTAAGTACTCTCCACACATAATTATGTATGAAGCATAAATTGTCATTTATCATTATCACTAGCTGTTTTAATCAACTTAAGGTTAATTAGATAAATAAAAACTAAAAATTATAGGTAAAAGTTAAAGAACTATCTTAACAAAAAAATATTAAACTAAAAGGTATCAAAACTAGCAATACTAAAAAATGTATTTTTAATCACTCACTAAAACGTCCAAACACTGCAACGCTAAAAAAGCAANTATTTTAAATCACTCACTAAAACGTCCTGAGAAGGTATTGGTTTTACTATGACGTGTTTTTTTTTTTGTGTCTGTTTCCACATTTTTCAGCTTTCACCGAACCGATTTCTTTCAACGATACGTCAAAAGATCACAAATCGTATCTAGTCGAAGGCATTACCCTCAAAAATTGAAAAAATTTCCCTCGTTCCCCGGAAATGGGGGATACCTCCAAAAAAATTACAAATTTAAAAATCGCTAATTTTCGAAATTTTTTTAATTTTTTTTACTTAAAACTGCCATAACTTTTTCAAAAATGAACAAATCAATATAATTTTTTTTTTATAGATGCTTGATGTCTTTACCTATCATTTGGTATACTTTTTTTTATAAATTTAACCCTTTACCAGCCTACGGGAGGATTTAATATGACAANCTTTTTTTTATAAATTTAACCCTTTACCAGCCTACGGGAGGATTTAATATGACAACTTTTTCACAAAAAATTTAATTTTTCAACTTAACTTTTGAAAGTGTTCCAGAAATACTGACACTTTTATATATATCTTAAATTAAAGCTAATGTAATATATGTTATTAATAAAAAAAAAATTTCGGACTTTATTTTGTCTTCACGGTGAAAATGGCTACCGAATGCTTTTTTTGTGTGAAAATTCTCGATTTTGTATTTTACATTTTTAACTTTATTATGCTATAACTTTTTGAAAAATGTATGGATCAATTCAATATTTTCATGAGAAGTTGTATTTATATACATCTTTCATTCGAAATCCTTTTTTTTAAAATAACACCATTTTTCTTTATATATTATAAATATATATATATATATATTCATATGTATTACACTTCTAAATCATAAAACTTGTAATCAGAATAAAAATAAAGAAATAGAAGATCAGTTAACTTTTGGAATAATCCACAAATTTTTTTAAATTAAACACTATCTACAGATTTGCATCGAAGCGTTTTTTATGATAGTAATTTTAATCACTGTCAGATATCATCTATACTGTACCCAACTATGCCACGACCCCACTGTGCCTCCCCCCCCCCGTGCTGGGTTTTTTTTTATGCGACCGGCATAAGTGTGGGCCGCCCTGCAACTGCCGTTAGGTATTACTTCAGGGCGGTCACGCCGTCTCTAAAACTCACAACACCACGTTGTGAATCAGTTCGAAATTAATCAAAAGATGATGCACAACGTGGTGTGACCTCCCCCATTATCCGGATCTCGGAGTGGGATCCGTTACCCGGGTTGCACCACGTGGATGTGGGGCAGGACTTTTCGAGAGGGGCAAATAATTCACAAAAACATAAAATACGAATACCTAAGCCGCCAGCCTAAACCAGCGCCTCAGGTCCTCCTGTGCCGGGCGGCGTGGCTGCCTCTGTCTCAGGCGTTCCGCTTCCTCTTTCTTTAACAAGACGGATTTGGCGAACGCCTGGACGAGCCACCACACCTTCCGGTTCCTCCATGGACCCTAGTCGAGACTCCAAAGAGTTCCGCTCCTGGGCCCACGCCTCGCACCGGAAGAGGCTGTACAGAGCGCTGTCAGCCTCTCCCGGGCGATCCGAACAGTGGTCGCACGTCGGCGCGGCTGCTTTACGAATACGGTGTAAGTACTCGTTAAAGCAACCATGTCCGGACATCACTTGGGTGAGACGATATGTCATCTCACCGGAGTCCGGTCCGCCCACCTGTCCAGCCGATCGGGTCCTATGAGGGACCTAGTCCACTCGCCTCTCGTCGTTTCCTCCGAGAGGCGAGTCCGCCATCGGAGCATGGTCATCCGTCTGAGCGCCAGCCTGTCCTCGGGTTCCGGCTGGTTCGACCATCGAGCGCCGACGGTGAACGCTCTTTCCGGTGTAAGACATCTTACGGGCCTTTACGCGTTCCTATATTCTGTCTTTGGTCACATTCTTCTCTAAAAATTAACTTGTTTTGTTACTCTTAATGTACTTGTTAATAAGTTTATAAGCTAGCGAAACATTTATAGTGTTACGGTATTGTTTTTTTTTTTTTTTT